GGCAATTTCAATTCATCCATGAAGGGTGGCTGTATAAGGAATGATTATGTTCCTTTTATTTTTAAAGTATGAATAATTTTGAGGCTTTTGATGTAGTAATTTGAAATAATAAATGCAAAAGTTTTATAATATAGTTTTTAATGTCAGGAAAATGGAAATGTGAAGGTCTCTTAGGTGAGAGATTATAATGGCAAATAGAATCATAAAATAAATATGAATTATATCAAGGCAACTAGAATCAAGATGTAAAAATATTGAAGACAGACTTTGTTTTGAGAGAATTGGTTTAGTTTTTGTCACAAATTGGAATCTGGTCATGAATCATTGAAGCCAATTATTTTGCTTCTTTGAAGTGGAACTCTGATATAAATTTAATATGTAGGTGTATATGAACTGTTCTATCTTAGCCTTTACCTCTTTTGTTAGAAGCAACAAATTGGGATTTGTTTTAAGCTGTGTTTTTCGAGGAGAGGTTGGCCTCTTATCATGGTGCTATTAGATTGTAGGGGTTTTTTTGGTTTTTTTTTCTGTTTTTTTTCTTTTTTCCACTATGAGCTTTACAAAATTAAATACTCAGGCTTAGGCTGGCTCTACATTCTTTAGGCAAATATTTTTATTTTTTTCATCAAGCTATGTAAAAAATAAAAAAGGTGATATATATACAAATAGTGTAGGGAATGACAAGTCTCATTTTATTAATTCCTAATGTGATGATGGTGTAAAGCTTTAAGTACTGTTTAAGAATTCTTGCAGTTAAGCGTAGCCTTATTATAGTTTGGATTTGGAGATGCATCGCTAATGTTACAGTATAAGTTTGCCTGTGTGTGTGTTTAACCTAAATGCACTTCCCTAATTCTAATTTACTTCACTCAGAATTTAGTGTTCCAGTGTTTTACAGACAACATTACTCTGAGGTTGTATGTTGTAGTCTACATTATTTTGTACCTATTTAAAGTGACTATTTTAGTGCATGAGGACTTATTTTACTCTGGAAAAAAAGAGTGTGTAAAGCTATACTGAAGATATAATTTGCTTTTCAACTAGAGGTTGCTTGGAAATTAAATGAAACTTGCGATGAAGGCTATAGAGAGCTGTAGTGCACAGATTCTTTAGCCTCTTCTGAGATAACTGTTCTTTAATGTTAAATCAGGAAGTTAGGAAACTCTTTGTGGCTATTTTTTCTCCCTTATTTCCAAGGTACATGTTAAACGCATTTAAAGATCACATGTTCTCTTCCAAATTCAAAATATTCATTGTCAGTATCAGAAGTGGTTTTTTAGTATGGGAATTCTTTATGCCCATGGTAGGGAAAGTATTTAATAGGATATTTGATTGGACATAAGAAGAATGCTCACCTGGACTTGATGTCTGGTTTATGTTAAACAATCGGTGATGAGTTGATGATGCTTACTTGTAATTAATGACAAGAGATTGTACAGTGTAATACAGTTAGGGAGAATTCAAATCCCTTTATCAATCTGCATTGTAGTTTTCTCATTGATGAAGTGGGCATGTTTACTTGGAGTTTAGTTTGGGTTTTGTTATTGTTGGGGTATTAGGAATGATCCTCCTCCTCCTTCTTTTCTATTTTTAAGAGTTCCGTACCGAGAGAGAGAGGCAAGAAAGCTTATAGAAATCAAAAGTAACAGTTTTAATGCTGATGGTTTGATTAGGTTTGATAATGTGACTTAGATGTGTGGCCTTCTATTGCTGGACTCCCCAGTATAACCCCATGTTCAGACTTTGGGCTTTTGTTTGGGAGGGAGAGTTTGGGTAGACAAAGCAAACACACATACCTGAACTCCTTCCTTGCACCCAGTGGATCTTGATGGTGGATACAGAGAGAGGTGGGCTTGCTATCTGCCTTTGAAAAGTCAGGTCCCTTTACTCCTAGCACATGGAAGAACTGAAAGGACACTTCAGGTTCCCTACACATAGGCAGATCTTAAAAGAAAAAGAGGAAAAGGCTGAGACAGGAATAGGCTCAGGTCCTTTTCCCAGTCCTTTAGAGAGGAAAGAATGAAAAAGGGAAAAAGGCCAGAAGCTTCCTTCCAAATGCTTCAGGGGTGGAATTCCTTTATCATGAAGCCATAGAACACTGTATTTGAAATTACAGTGAATTAGTTCACTTTCCCAAAGAAAATAATTAACCTCATATTTTTTACTTTTTATTATTTTGTGTTTTTAAATATATTTTATTGGTTATGCTATTACAGTTGTCCCAGTTTTTCCTCCTTTGCCCCACTCCACGCAGTACCCCCATTGCCTCCAGCAATCCCTGCTCTTGGTTCATGTCCATGCGTCATGGCTGGATAGAATAATCTAGATTGTAGTCCTTGCTTTTCATCACTTCAAATACGTCTTTCCAGTCCCTTCTTGCCTGCAAAGTTTCTTTTGAGAAATCAGCAGACGGTCTTATGGGAACTCGTTTGTAGGTGACTCTGCTTTTCTCTTGCTGCTTTTAAGATTTTCTGTCTTTAACCTTTGGCATTTTAATGATGATGTGTCTTGGTTTGGTGCTCTTCGGGTCCAACTTGTTTTGGACTTGCTGTGTTTCCTGGACTTCTATGTCTAGTTCCTTCACCAAATTAGGGAAGTTTTCCTTCATTATTTTTTCAAATAAGTTCTCAGTTGCTTGTTCTTCCTCCTCTTCTAGCATCCTTATGATTCAAACATTGGTACATTTGGAGATGTCTCAGAGGCACCTTATACTATCCTCATTTTTTTTTAAATTCTTTTTTCTTCTTGCTGTTCTTGTTGAATGCTTATTTTTTCCTTATGTTCCAAATTGTTGATTTGAGTCCTGGCTTCATCCCCATCCAATGTTGGTTCCCTGTAGATTTTTCTTTATCTCCCTTAGTGTAACCTTCATTTCTTCCTGGTTGTTTTGTTGTTGTTGTTGTTGTTGTTGTTGCAGTACTCAATGAGTTCTTTGAGCATCCTGATCACTAGTGTTTTGAACTCTGCATCTGATAGGTTGCTTATCTTCGTTTCATTTAGTTTTTGGGGGGATTTGTTCTGTTCTTTCATTTGGGCCATATTTCTTTGTCTCCTCAGTTTGGCAGCCTCCCTGTGTTTGTTTCTGTGTATTAGGTAGAGCTGCGTTGACTCCCTGTCTGAGCAGCAGGGCCTATTATAGAAAAGGCACCTGTAGATCGTGTGAAGTGGATCCCTAGGTAACTGCCAGGGCAGGGCAACCCACTTCACTGCTTTGTGACTCTGTGTGGGTTGGCGGGGGGGGGCGCTCAGAGAGGGGATAGTGCCGGAGACAGTGCCACTGCCTGGCTTCTAGACGTGTGCCCAGCACTCGCACTGTTTCCAGTCTCTTCACTTACTGCCTGTATGTGACTGGTGCCCTTCCAGCTGTTGCCCTGCTGCCAAATCCTATAGGAGGGTGGGTCTACATATGTTCTAAGTTTGTGTGGGACTTTTAAGCGGAGTCTCTTGAAAATCCAGCAGTTTCTTCTGTTGCCCCAACTGGTTTTTACAGCCGGAAGTTACTGGAGTTTATCTTCTGGTGCTGGGGCGCTGGGCTGTGTGGTCAGGCCTAGGGCTAGCATCACTCACTCCGAAGGCATCCCTCCCGATTTTTATCCACCACAAGTGAATGTGGGATCCCCTATTCCACTGCCATCACCTCTCCATGTGACACTGTGTCTCCGCCCCTCCTACCTGTCTGGGTGAATGTGGCTTCTTTGAATCTTTGGTTGTCGGACTTCCATACAGCTTAATTTTTGACAGTTCTCAGTGTTACTTGTTTTGAGGTCCAGTAATTCTTTCTGTGGTTGTGCAAGGAGGCAAAGCGTGTTTACCTATGTCTCCATCTTGACTGCAAGTCTTAACCTCATTTAATATTAGTGTTCAGTACCCTTGCCTTTAACCCTAAAATATCAGTGGAAAAAAAAGAAACCCCATTCTGTTCTCTTCCACATTTGAAATGTGTTAGATATGCAGTGGTGTTTTGTTATATGGTGTCTGATTGGTGAATAATCTGAGGAGCGAATAGGTTCATTACCGTGGCTACTGCTAGAGCCGCAGTGTATTGTAAACAATTTTATTAGTATAAACTTTATGTAAATTGTAATCTAACAGCTGTGTGCTCTATGAATTTGGTCCTGTTCAGTGGATGACTGTTGGGAAGCACATCTGGCCAAATGTTTTAGAGCACCTCCTTTTTTGATATCTAAGGAAAAAGTAGCTGCGCTTCATTGAGAGCTCACCCCAGTTAGAGTCTGCCTTTTTGGATCCTGAGTTGACTGTGGTATGGAACACAATTTGAGGTTAGTTTAGCCATTTAGGTTCACTTGCCAGGTCATCCTTGACAGGACAAACCTTTCCTTTCACACATACCAGCCAAGAACTGTATAGTATTAGAAGAAAATAAAACACAACCAATTCCTTTTTTTTTTTTTTTGCACTTACTCTTTTTTAATTAAATTTATTAGGATGACATTGGTTAATAGGATCATATAAGGCTTCAAGTGCACATCACAAAAACCTTTGATTCTTGAATAGTATAATATTAGAGGAAAATACAAGCACAACCAATTTCTAAAAGTCTACCATAATTATTTTGTTGTAGGTTATCAGAACCCTAGCTCTTTTTTTTTATTTGTGTTTTCTTTGATCATTTTACTTGTAAATATTTTTTTGCAGCACCAGGAGGGGAAAGTATAGATGAAACATAAATCAACTTCTCTATTTTTTTAATATTGTAAACACCTGGCTTGAAAATATATACAGAGTACTGGAGGACCATGAGAAAGGAGTTGAAAGTGTTCCAAAAAAAGTTTTATTTTTGGAAAGTTGAGAATTTTATGTTTCCATGCTATTACCTGGATACTTAGTTTGACCAATTGGGAATCTTTCCAACTTTGGGTTATTTTTTTCTCAAATTAAGGTTGGTGTTAACTTACTTGAATTTGTTTTCTTTTTTTTTTGATGCCTTGTGAGGTGCATTATTTTTTTGTGGTTAATATTTTCCTTTTTTTCAATTTCAGCTGATTCTATTAAGATACTAATGCCATCCCTGTCTCCGACGATGGAAGAAGGGAACATTGTGAAATGGCTGAAAAAGGAAGGTGAGCAAGTACATTACTAATGCCTTGTGTTACTTGATCGTTTTCCCCCCTAATCAGTTGTATTACACAATGCATAATAAATGAAATAAATAGGGTTACTCTGCTAGTTGATATAAGTTTTTTCAATAAAGTTTTTTCATGGTAATGTAGCAAAGGTTTTCTGGGTTCAGCCTGTAACTTTTCACAAGCAAAGAATGGTAAAATATTTTAGGGGTTTTTTCTCCCCCAGGTTTTAGTCCTAACACTTTACTTTTAGTTTCAGCATTATAAATTTGTCAATTTCGTGTGTTAATTTATAGCTTTATGATGATTCTGTGTATGTGTGTATGTATGTGTTTCCTGGAGCTAGGCAAATTGATTATACATTTCATTGGAAAGAACAAGTAAGTAAGAATAATAAAGAAAACTCTAGAAAGAAGAGCAGCGGAGGAAGATTGTTTCTCTACTATATATCGAAACATTTTTAAGCCCCTACAATTAAAAATATGGTATTGGTGTTTAAAAAGAAAAATAGAACTGAATAGAAAATGAGAAAATAAACACAGTTAGTTGAACATGGGTATTTAGTGTATAATGAAGGAAGACAATATTAGGTTTAGTCTTTGTACTATGACAAGGAAAAATTACAAATGACTCAGACACTTAATACACAAAATATGAAACTATACAAGTACTAGGGGAAAAAATGGTTAATTCTTCTGACCCTGGAAGTGAAATAAACACCCTAACTGCAGCTCCAAATGCAATATGGGAAATCTTGATAAATTTGACGATAAAAATCATAACTTCTTTATGGCTGAAAACACAGTAAGTAATAAACAAGTAACCAATTGGAAAAGGATATTTGCAATCACAAAGGGTTAGTATCCCTAAAGTGTAGAAAATAAGAAAGCTGTTAACTCAGTAGGAAAATGGGAAAGACACATGAACAAATGGTTTTCAGAAAAAGAATTGCAAATTGCCGTTAAACATATGAAAAGATACTTAATCTCTTACTACTAATAAGCAGTAATACTACCCTGATACAGCATTTCTTCCTAATGATAGTGGTAGAAATTAGAAAGTTTCACAAGCTGTTCAGCTGATGAGGCTGTGGAGAGAATGGGGGAAGCAGTCACTGCCAGACATTTCTGGAGGAAATAGAAAATGGTATAAACCCTGGACAAGAGAATTTGTCAATATACAGGCAATTCTGCTTCTAGGAATAATGCCTTGGTGCTAAGTGGCAAAAGTCATTAGGTGTAATAACTAGCAACAGAACTCGACTTCCAAGAACTTCAGTTAATTGGAATTACTAAAAACATAAAATGAGTGTATGTTTAGAATGATCAGATGTGTAAGAGAAAGAATTGAAAAGTCAAAAAAAGACAAATCCTATCTAAAAAGTCTAGACAGATTTGAAAAAGACAAGTATAATTTTTAGGAATGAAAAATATTGTCTCTGGAATTAAAAAACAGAAACTCAAGGTTGGGTGAAAGTGCGGTTAAACATGATTGACCAAAGAATTTGGGAACTGAAGATCAACCTGAAAGAATTAGCTTGTGTGCAGCACAGGGAGATAATGCAGTAGAAAATATGAAAGAGAAGTTGAATGTGAAGAATAAAATGAGGCTCTATCAATAATCCAATAGGAGCAATTCCAAAAGGAGAAGAAAAGAGGGGATGAGGAGAAAGTAATAGTCAAAGCAAAAGTGGCAGAGACTTTTCTAGAATGGAGAAAAACATGTCATGTAATTGGAACAGCCAGTGCTTCATTGGGAAGCACTTTAAGTAATTGGCTCTGCACGGCTGTTGCCATCTTTTAAAATAATTATCAGTATCTAAGAAAGTTTCACCTTTATAAATAATATAATCAGTTGGGATCTATTTTTAACTTTCTTTTTTCCTGATAAATTACAGAGCTTTGGTTATTTCCATATTCAGTATGATAGAGTGTTGGTGTCATTAAATAATTCAGACACAGAACAGCCTTTCAGGGTTATTATAAAAAGATTAATTTATTTTACACTTTGAAAACTGGTAGACAAGTAGATAAGAGGATTCTTCAGACCACATTTATCTCTCAGACTTCTAGCTCATTGGCAATCTGATAAGTTATTCACACTCATTAGAATACAGAGAATATGATGAAGAGTCAGGAGACAAATGGCCTCATCGTTCTGTTCTTTTTTTTTTCCTTTTGATTACAATGTGCTATTTTTATATAGGAGAAGCCAAGATGTTCTTTAAGCCCATGCAGCATGTCTTCCTGTGTTGCTCTTAAAATTCTGTGTCCTGTTAACTGAGGATAAATGTTTATTTGCTAATACACTATAAATAATTGAGAGCAACTTTAATCCTTGTTTCTCAGTAATTCTCTGGCTTCTTTTTAAGTTTATCGCCTTTGAGATTTAGCTGAGCATAGTTTACTTCTTTTTATTAACATTTATGTACTATACACATGGGCATGACTGTATATGCCTACGTATGTTTGGTATCTGGTATGTTCATGATAACTTGGTTCAGACATTCTGTGTTAAAATCATTTATATTCCAGCAGAAACTTTTTATATACCTTTTTTCTTTTAGCTATGTTTTTAAAATTTATCTTGAGATCTTTATTAATGTATGATCACCATTTAAAACAGTGAGTTTAAGCCTCCAAACAATCAGATATTGAAATTTTTTTCATAAAAAAGACTAGTGTTGTCGCTCATCAGGAATCTAATTTGTTTTTCAGCAACGGCTAATCTGATAACCTTTCATGGATAGCATTTTGGACTTCTAATGCGGGGGTGTCCAGCCTGCAGCCTGTGGGCTGCATGCAAGGACTTTTTTGCTTATTTGTGGTGGTGGATATCACGAGAGTTATGCATGGACCCTTTTTTTGCTCATCAGTGTTCATTAGTGTTTGTGTATTTAATGTGTGGCCCAAGACAACTCTTCTTCTTCCAGTGTGGCCCAGAGACGCCAAAAGGTTGGACACCCCTGCTAAAATTTCTTCAAAATCTGAGACTGTTAAAATTAATATTATTGATGTCATGTGTGTGCACGCATATGTGTTTCAAGCCAAGGCAGTGAGTACAATGAAAGGAACGCTGGCCTAGGAATCATGGTTTGTCCTTTGGGGTCTCCAGTCTGCCATGAAATATCTGGGAATGAGTTGAATTAGATGAGACCTAAGACATATCCCTGGCTTTGGGATTCTCTGATAACTTAATTTCATTTTCTTTTTTTAAGACACAGCCACATGCAATAATGTAGTATATAAATTATTCCCAGCTTTGTTGACCTAATGTTTGAAAAAGTAGTTATATACTGAGTATTAGAATACTTAATCTTAGTCTGAGGATTAAGTAAAGAATATGCATCCTAAAAGTCGTGGAGAAAACACTAGAAGTGCTAGGTAACACATAACACATTTCTTGAAAGGTGAATTGACCTATAATTCCATACCTTTGTTACAGTTTGTTATTTGTTATATGGGGGGGAAGTGTGCTTCTGATATTTTCAGTTTAATTAAAGTGGATATAGTTTATTTTTTCATCATTTGGAAGGTCAAATTTGTTAAAATAACAGAGGAAGAAAATATTCTTTTTGCCTCTTTAGTGAGAGGATATTTGGGAGTTTGAAAACTATTGTTTTCTTTCTTGAGATATTTGAGAGCATATCATGAAACACTGGAACAAAACTAGGCTGAGGCACTTACGTGAGGTACTTAACCACACATGGGTCTGGAACATACGGAGTGTGCGTTTCATCCGTGATGTTTGCTGATGCTGCTCTCGGTGTTCTCTCTCATTCTCTCATTTTATTGGGTATTCCTTCTGTCATGTCACTGGGACTTTGTAATATTTCAGGTAGTTTTGTGTAAGTCTTAGACTATAATATAATTTATCAAATTCAGAAGTAAAACTGTCTCAAAGGAGTTTGTCACTGAAGTGTTATCGCTAGGTACCTCTAAGAGAGTTATATGGGTCTCTGGCATCTGCTATTAGAATAGGCTTTGATTTCTCTTTTGGGAGATATTTCAATAACATGTTTGTGGTGCTAAAATGGAAATTTTTTCAAATGAGTATTTCACAAATATCACCATTTTTTCAGTGTACTTCTCTTTTAACACAGCTTTATTGAGATGTAGTTTATATAACATAACATTTACCTATTTAAGTGTACAATTTAATGACTTTTAGTAAAAGTATAGAGTTTTGCAACCACAATCCAGTTTTAGAATATTTCTATCATCCCAAAAGATACCTGGTGCCTAATTGCTGTGACTTTCTTTTTTCATCACTAGCCCTAAACAACCCTGACCTACTTTTTGTTTCTAACATTTTGCCTTTTCTGGACATTTCATATAATAGAATCACATAATATAATACTATAGTCTTTTGTGCCTGGCTTCTTCCACTCCGCATGGTTTTAATGTTCTTTCATGTTGTAGCGTGTATCAGAAATTCACTCCTCTTGTTGCCAACTAGCATTCCATTGTTACGCTTTTTCACTCTTACTGTTAGCATTTCTATTCTGTCATTATTTTAGAATTGGTGAGTGGCATTCTAGATTACAGTATTATCAATAGAACTTTCTGCGGTGATGGAAATGTTCTGTGTCTGTGCTGTCCAGTACAGTAACCGCTCACCACATGTGTCTCCTACTTGAAATGAACAATGCAATGAAATGTAAGAGGTCAGGAGAATGTAAGGGAGCTACAACTTTGCCTAGCAGTTTCCTTCTCAGGCTGCTACGCATGCCCTCAGCCCTCTGGACAGAGCCTCAGACGGCCTGCGGGCCAGGTTGCCTGGGGCCTTGGGTCATGCAAATATTCTTTTCTCATGTATGATGAAAAGAGTTGGCAAACTTGCTGGCGAGGGGGCCCTTCTGTCTTCACACACTGCCATAGGCACCGATTGCATGGAATTAGCACTGCCGCTTGGTTGTTTGTACTCTTCTTCAATCAGATTCGGAATTTCTTGAAGCAGGGCTGTCTTACTGTTTTGTACCACAGTGTCTTACACAA